TATATATATATATATTTATTGGAGTTATATATATATATATATATTTATAGGTTATATATATATATATATTTTGTGGAGTTATATATATATATATATATATATTTTGTGGTTATATATATATATATATATATATATTATATATATATATATATATATATATTTGTGGGTATATATATATATATATATATGGGTTATATATATATATATATATATATAATATTTATGGGTTATATATATATATATATATATATATTTATTTATGTTATATATATATATATATATATATAACATTTGTGTGTAATATAATATTAGTATGTAATATATATATATATATATATATTTTCATTCTTACACATACATATATAAAAATTTCCAAGAGGAGTGAATCCAGGTAGAACTCAATGTCCGGTACAGAGTAAGAATATAATAAAAATGCTTAAACACGAATATTCCATGGTTATAATTTATTACATGGATTAAATTATAACCATATATATATATATAATATATATATATATATATATATATATATATATATATATATATAAATTATATAGGGTGATTTTGATTTTGCTTGATTTGGTTTGTCTTCCGGCATATCAACCTCAATGGGTTATTTAATACCGACAATATTGTTATTGCTGGTAATATTTTTCTCAAACATGTATATCTGGTAAAAAATTTTCCAAAAAAGTATTACTGATATTACCACCTATTGTTACACTTTCATAGCGTTTTGACCCCTTTTGGATGGTTAACTATTTGCTCATAGCTGGGAGCCTGGCAGGTGCTACCACCCCGGGTCAGGGTGGACCTGGGAACACCAACAATTAAGAGGTTGTCCACGCTCCTCAAAACCTCCTGATCAGAGGCCTTGCTGTTGGATGTAGTTTATCATCATACCCAGGACTGGGATACTATTGTTTTCTGGTCTAATTCAACTCTGACTATTAACTTTTTTATATATATATATATATATATATAATTTGTGTGTGTCTCCGTACTCAGGTGCATATGCAACTGCTGAACCTCAATATATATCTGTTGATAGCCAAATGCAATAACACAGCGATGTATATTTACCCATAAATGTTTGTGGGGAAAATGGTTACGTTCGCGTCTTTGAAACCACTGAGTGTCAAATCTTGATAGAGAGGGAAGGTGGATTTGTTTCTCTGCATGTCTGTAAGCACACGCACATATATCTATCTATTTATATTATGTAATAAGATCGCCCTGTATGCACGCGACGAATTCTAGAAGAACATTGATAGTAAAATATTATTGCTAATAGAGAAGCTTGTCCAAAATATGGCGATCTTCTCATAATTTCGAACAGTTCTTCAGAGTATTTAGAAATCCTCCAATCTCGCAATACTCTGCCCAGCTTTTGAAACGTGTTATTGGCCATCCCAATACTTCTACAGATGTCAATGTCGCACTTACCGTCCTCTGTCAAGATGCTCCCCAGATATTTAAACTTCAGCGTCTGCTTGATTCTAATGTTCCCGACCTGCAAATCGCATTTTGAATTCATTCTCTTACTGATGACTATGCATTCTGTCTTTTTGCGGTTTATGCTTAGTCCTTTCTTCTCACTCTCCGTCGCTACGTTCTGTATGAGATTTTCTAATTTCTTTTCCGTGTCTGGTATCAGTACTGTGTCATCTGCGTATCTTATGTTGTGGCCGCCAATGCTAAATTCCGGTAGGGTTTCCAATTCTCTCAGAACTGCCTTGCTGTATCGGTTAAACAGGTCGAGTGAGAAGTCGCATCTTTGCCTTACGACCCTTACTATTTTTGTATATTCACTGAATTCGTTCCCTATGCGCATGCATGCTGTTTGCTGCCAGTATAGGTTCTTGATTATTCTGATATCTTTCCCGAATATATAAAGGTTGCTGAGGAGTTAATCAGATCCTTGTGGCGTACTTTGTCGAAGGCCTTTGCGTAGTCTATGAAACATAGGTACACGTCCTTCTGCATTTGTATCGCTTTTTCTGATAATATTCTGAGCATGAATATCGTGTTACTTGTTCCGGTGTCTTTAACGAACCCGCACTGTTCTTGTCCTGTCTCTGGCCTGATTCTGCTGCGTGTTCTATTCCTCAGAATACGGATGATGAGTTATTTAGTAAGAAGATAAAACAGATAATGAATCTAGATAGTGAATATAGATAGATATAATGAAGATCGTTAATGAACATGTCTGATTAGCGTGCCGAATAATGAATGATAAATAGATTTGAACAAACTGAGATAGATTTTCATTAACTGAGACAGATTGATAGAACTGCACAAACTGAGACAGATTGATAGAACTGCACAAACTGAGACAGATTGATAGAACTGCACAAACTGAGACAGATTGATAGAACTGCACAAACTGAGACAGATTGATAGAATTGCACAAACTGAGACAGACAGTCTTGAACAAATTGAGATAGATAAATAGTTTTGCACAAATTGAGATAGATAAATAGTTTTGCACAAATTGAGATAGATAAATAGTTTTGCGCAAACTGAGATGGATAAATGGATTTGCACAAACTGAGATGGATAAATGGATTTGCACAAACTGAGATAGATAAATGGATTTGCACAAACTGAGATAGATAATGAACACAGCTAACCCTTGAATAGACTCCGATAGGTATTCACTTAAAAGTACACTGATATTTTGGGCATTTCGGGAATAGAAAATTCTACAGCGCCAATATCTACTGTTAGCTATTATATTTCATGATTTTTTTTTCTTTACTTATTCTGACCTAATCCAACATTTGAGGAAACCAAACAAATTAAGAAAGCATTTACTCCAAATTTATTTACTTCGTTTTCTTAACTGGGACATCCAGGTTGGGGAGTGTAGATTAAACTGCAGATGTGAACGACAAGTTCTCGTATTTTAACTACACGGCCATCTCGTAAGAAGTTGAGCATGTCGAGATAAATAATACATGACTCGATTAGAGGCGAATAGCTTACATAACTTTGTTCTTACGTCGTACTTGAAATTTGATACTTTGCTGCTATGGGGACTGGTTCAACGAACGGATAAAAACAAAGGCAACAAACAGGCGTCATATTAACATACATACCTACAGCACAAGGTCAGATAAAGAGAAAATAGGGAGTCGGAAGATGGTATTGCGCCAGTATTCTAAGTATGGTGCGATCGGTTGCTTTAGATTTCGACATTCGAAACATGGTTTCTTTTTACCTGTCTAGACAGTTTTATACTAAGCTCAGCTTTGCCTAGCAAAAGACAATAAGGATGAGAGTCCCAGTAAGACTCGAACACACAACAATACTAATGGTCCAGTGTAATGAGTTCGATCTTTACTGAGAGTTCTGATTTTAAAGCTCTGTGAAAGACTTAACTATTCTGTTCAATAATTTTGTAATTATTGCAGTCTTCTGGCAGACTAAGCTAAGTAGTTTAATAACTCTATCACAGCATGTTCATATCTATCTTCCTAAGCTTGTTCATATCTATCTTTCTATCTAAGCTTGTTCATATCTATCTTTCTATCTAAGCTTGTTCATATCTATCTTTATCTATCTAAATTTGTTCATATCTATCTTCTATCTAAAACTTGTTCATATCTATCTATCTATCTGTTTGTCTATCTAATCAAGCATGTTCATCTATCTTTCTATCTAAATAATTTCCTTCTATCTTTCATCTATCTCAGCTTGTTCATATCTATCTATCTATCTATCTCAGCTTGTTCATATTCTATTATCTATCTATCTATCTATCTATCTATCTCAGCTATCTATTCATCTATCTATCTATCTATCTAGCTATCTATCTATCTATCTATCTATCTCAGCTTGATCTATCTATCTATCTATCTCGATCTATCTGTCTATCTATCTATCTATCTCAGCTTGATCTATCTATCTATCATTCTATTATCTATCTCATTCATCTATCTCAGTTTGTTCTATCTATCTATCTATCTATCTATCTATCTATCTATCTATCCCAGCTTGTTCATATCATATATTACGTTTCGGCTGAGAAAATGATGAGCAGATATGGGCTTTCGAAGAAATAATCTGAGTGAAGAGGATGAAAAAAAAAAAAAAAATGGAAAATCGAACCTTGTTTACTGTGACGTTCTTCGCGGCCGAGTAGTAAAGTACGCCGGATCAAATGGTGGTCTTTCCCAACATAAAAAAGAAAGACACAGGTTCGATTGATGGCGACAAACACATTGCTAGGATTTTTCGAATGAGTGGGCCGATAAACGTAATACACACTGTTTAATAGAGATGGGCCGTCTGTTACAAATACGAAGCTTCCACTATAATAACACTTGAAGTAAATAAAATGTCGGAATGAAAATAAATCCGTTATATTATATTATATATATATATATATATATATATATATATATATATAATATATATATAATGGGTGTTTGTGAGTAAAAAAAGATTTATCGGACCCTCTGACCTTGATGAGTATTTTGATTTTAAGGCTCTGTATCAGACTAAGTTATTTTATAAAATTGAATTTTGTAAATATCTAGATCTTGTGGTAGACCAAACTAAATACTTAATCCCCCTCTCTCTCTCTCTCTCTCTCTCTCTCTATATATATATATATATATATATATATATATATATATACTAGCGTATCATGCTACTTTTGGTGACCTAATTTTGAAGCTAATTTGACTACAGTAAATGGATACCTTGTTTGGTCACCGGCGTAGCCAGGGCCAGCAGTACATATGATAATTTTATATCTCATGTATATTGCTACCCCCTTAAAATTAGCTTCAAAATTGGGTCTGCAAATGTCACATTATACGCGAGTATATACGGTATATAGATTTTGAGAGAGAATGAGTTTTACCGTGCGAAAATAAACGTTATTTTCATTATGTTTTAAACAAAAAGTAAGCATTACTTTTGCGAAATCCAGTTAATTAAGCCTTAAATTTACGAAATGGCTTCGAAACACAACTCTAGAGCAGATATTAAATTATAAGAGATTGTAAATTTGTTGTTTACATTTTTTTATCTATAATGACGGTAACTAGTGAACGAGCAATGTTTTAAAAATATATAGAAACGACACAGAAATTAATTTTTGTTTTTAGTTTTATATTATCTTTCAAATAAAACCAAATTTTAACTTCAAAGAAGAGAGGTAAATTATTTAAAATGCGTTTTTCAGAACGTTTGTGGCGGTACCGAGCCATTACTATTATTTTCACATGTAAATTAAATGTTTTGTTTTTCTTGTTCTTTTTAATGATGATGATGATAGTTATAAGCTTTTGCTCAAAATTGGATTTTCAAAACATTTAGGGACAGAACTTCATTGTCATAATAAAGTCCCCTTGAGTTACAAGTAATAGAGAGATAACTTTATATGACAAAACGTGTATTGTATATTCATTTTTAATAGTGTTAAATTTAGAATAACAAACATACAAAATACTTATCTTGTGCGATGGAACTTGTATCCGACAAATGGAATGTAAGACTTCTTGATAATGATGTGATCGTTAAGCCAACATATGTATTTTTTTGTCAGAGATACAATCTCCCAAAAGACATTTAAACTGATATACAATGTTGGTCTTTACCAAAACACGAGTTGACGGAGAAAAGGTATTGCGTACCATTAATATATATATATATATATATATATATATATATATATATATATGTGTGTGTGTGTGTGTGTGTGTGTGTGTGTGTGTGTGAGAGAGAGAGTTTATCATACATATAAAAAAACACTGTGTGTAACGGTTATCAGGGTTAAGTATTGTAATCAGCAAGCGGAGTTCAAATTCTGACCGATGCTGACGCCTTCACTTCGCGCTAATGCCTTTCTGAAAGGCATGAATCCATCTTTTCTTCTCAGAACCAGGAGTAAAATAGTAAGGCATACTGAACTTTCTAGATTTGGTTGAGCAACCAGCAAAATTCTGAATTCAAACACTCTGCCAACATGTCAGGAGTCAACGTGGCAGAGTAAGTCCCATTAATCAGCATGTTTTGTTATACGTTTGGAAGTTGTGAGGCCTGCAGTAGTAAAAAAAAAAAATATAAGGTCTGTCCAGAAAATATCTATCCATTTAATATTAGTGGAGAAAAAGCCTTGTGAATGTGACCGTCACACCGTACACAAGCTCATTCAATGGTGCCTCACTAGGGATTGTGTAACCCCACAAGAGCTTGTCTGTTCACGAATACTCAGTAAAGTTCTCTTTAATTTATTAATAGGTTACATCAAGACCACACTGATGGTCCTCAAGATCTTCAGAAAAAAACACTTGAAACAGACCTCATGTGTGTGTAGAGAGAGAGAGAGGGGGGGGTGAGAGGGAGACGGATCATCATACCATATATATAAATGTGAAGCGGGCATTCCCATGATTATGAGTGTTGATTACATACAGGGTGCGATGGACATCTCATTTTAACAGATATATTTCCCAAAATTGCACAAAAATATCATGAAATACTAAAGAGTAAATTTATTCAATAAAATCGCCATTGTCTTCAACCACGGACTCTAAAAGACTTCGAAATCTCTTGCAACTCTTCTGGACGGTCTCCTTGTTTTAGTTGGTGAATGCTGCCATAATCCTTACCATCTCTTCATCTTTGGTGTTATAAGGAGTTTTGTTGGTCTCTCACTCAACTACGCCCCACAAATAATAATCATGTGGGTTACAGTCTGGGGAGTTAGGTGCCCAGATGTAAGAGGTAATATGGTCGTAAAAATTGTCTGACAGCCATGACTGGATTCTCCTGGTTGTGTGATATGATGCAGAGAGCTTCTGATATAAATGCCAAGCAGTACAGCATGCCGTTTCCAAATTTCTGACGGAGTGAATTGCGTCATGGTGTTTTTTTATTCTTACAGACGGTGCCCAGCTGACCCTTCTATACTGTGCAGTCGACAAAATCAAAAACAAATAACACGCATGCGCGAAATTAAAAATATAAAATTGCGACAAATTATCCATCGCACCCTATATATATACACGAGGGACGATGAAAAATTCTCGTTCTGCCCCACTTCCTAAAATCTGACCAAATCATTAAACATTAGAATTTGGGAGAGAACCTTTTGTCAACACCTCCTCGTACCTATGGGGTGCTCAAAGAAAGAGCCAACTTCGAACAAGGCAATGGGACCTAGGTGGCTATTTAATTTTTTTTTTTTTTTTTTTTTTTTTTTTTTTTTTTTGTCAAATTCCTGAATTTGTGAATAACACCTCCTATTCTAGTTGTTGCCCTCCAATGAGTTAGTTCTATCCCTTTAGAATTGGCAAGACGCTTAGCGCACGTAGACCTTATGTACTATAATTTACGAGTAAGTTTCATGTTTACCGGTTATCCAGCCAAACGCAGTTCAGCTTTGTCAATATTTACTTGTACATCAAGATGTTTACTAAATTCTTTCTCTCTTTCTTTTCTCACCCTCAGTTTCCTTCTATTTACAAACCATATGGCGACTAATAACCTTGTGCCTGCTTCATTCCCCACCACTTGCTCTCTTTTTCCTCTCAATTTCTAATTTTGTTTCTTTTGCTCTTTCTTTCTATTGGTCTTTTCTATCGCTCTCTCTTTTCCTTTTGCGCGCTCTCTCTCTCTCTCTCTCTCTTTTACTCTCTTGCTCTCTTTCTTTTGTTCTATTTCTCCGTTTCACTCTTTTCTTTTTCCCCCCTCTTTCTGTCATAGCTCTTTCTCTTTCTTTCGTTCCTTTCTTCTATCAATCTGTTTCGATCCTTTCTTCTATCATTCTATTTCTTTTTTTTCTTCATGAATCTCATTCGTTCCTGCCTTCTATCATTCTATTTATTTCTTTCTTTCAATCTTTCTCTTTTCTTTTCCTCCCTTCACCTTAATCCATTAGGCTATTTTTAGCACTTTTATTTAAAGTGAGCATTTTCTCATTAATCGGGAAAAAATCAACAATTGCCGTTATCTGATTGACAGAAAACTCGAAATTGTAAACAATTAAGAAAAAATCTAAACCCCTAATGTGTAATTTCAGATATAATACAAATCTTCACACAAATATTAAGACATATCTATCTATCTATCTATCTGAAACCCCCAAGAGCCGATGGTCAGTTTCATGCTAAATTCAATCATCAGGCCATGACGATTGCGTTTAGCATGAAACAGACTGTCGCCTCTGACTGTTAACTTCAATGTCCACTTTTTTATTTACATACGCTCTATCCCTGATTGAGCACTTTAACTGATACCTTAAAACTATATTTCATCACACACACACACACACACACACATATATATATATATATATATATATATATATATATATATATATATATATTAGAATTGTTTTTTAATATATAATCATTATAACACCGAAATTCACATGTCTCAGAACTGAAACCTCAGTTTAAATTCAATTATACATATTAAACTTAAAATACAAAGTTCAAAAGCGATGCAAAAATCTTAGCATCGCTTGATAATGGAACGGAATTTAAAGACAATTTGATGTATGTAGGGCCTTAATTTCCGTACAAACAACTATTTTTTTCATGGGTGACTTTCGTTGGATTTCGCAATTAATTTCGATTATTCTCAAATTTATTTTCAAGTTATAAAAATTGTTATCGTCCAAAAATTTCGTCGCAAAAAATCACGTAAAAAATCGCCGAAAACAATCGCAGTAACGAAAACTTGGGAATCCAAAATTTCAGGATTTCGGGTCCGGATTCGGTTTGGGATGTTTTTAATTTGCTCGTGGAGTCGGCCTCATTCCAAAATGGTATGATATGTTGGGCTACGTCCTCTCGGGGTAAAGTTGAAAAAGTGTGACACGCTGACATTCGCATTTATTTATATAAATAGTTATCTACATATCAACATGTTTGCTATTGTATTCATACAAAAATGTAAATGCATACACACAAATAAATGTATATTCATACACATCTATTTATAAATATATTTTATTTAATTTGGCCTGTTTATTTTGTATAATAATAATGTTGTAGCATAACTACGGACGATAATGAGTATGTCCCCATTTACATAAATACAGTAGTAAATACTGTATGTTGGTCGGCAGTTGGAGATTCATTGTGGTATTCACTTGACTTCCTTCTAGCAGTTGACTACTACTTCTACGCACCGCTAGCGAATCTTATATGTGCTGTTCGTGTCCTAAGTATTATCATTCATTACCAACCTTCGTGTGATTATTCTATTTCCTAGATTACAACAAATACCTTCTAGAGTTTTGTGTCTTTCCTTGCATTGGGTGCTCTAGATTATTTTGGTGTTATCTACTAGTATTTGTCTTATGTTGATAGTTATATTTTAGTCGTTCATGATGTGTTGGTCGATGTGTGCAGGAATTGCACAAAGTTTCGACAGGTGACAGGTTAATCTACGAGAGAGTGTGGTGCATGTGTTCCTAATGTAAGTATTTAGTGTGTATGTGTAGACAGCAAAAGAAAAATTATGTTTGTATTTTAGGATGGAAAGGTTACGTGAGATCTACGCTAAACAAATTGCTGTTCCTCCTGTTCAACTGTCCATTGTCAAGAGAGCTGTCTCTCTCCGTATCGCTGTGATTGGCTGCCACGAGCACGCTGCGTCTTTTCGTTTCCTGTGTCTGTTTGGAAGCGCTGCCCTATTAATACTCTCGATACGTCTGCAAGTGAAATGAGCATGTCTTAAAATTTGTCGCGCCCGGATGAAATTACGTTCGGCTGTTTCCAGTTCATGGCCCACCAAAAGATGTCATCAAATACGCGGCGCGCCTTGCATACTTGCTTATGCAATGAATAAACAAATACAAAGAAAAAGCAACTGATAATTTTGGATGAATAGCAGCGATAGTCAGATACAACAAAGAAACATAAAGGACGCTTTAAGACAGGGGGAATTTTTAGGCCACGTTAATGAGAGCTTGGAGAATTTGACACTCACATGGCATGTTGAAGGCAAGAAGGACAGAGCGAATCAGCGAGTAACCTTTATAACAAGCCTGTGTAAGTGGATGGTAGATCAGGGAGTGGGGAGGATTATGATAAAAAAAAAACTTTACTAACAGCGACAAATGATAGGAAGTTGTGGAGAGCCATATTCACCCGCGTCCTAAAGAGATACGGTACATAGATGAATTTTGGCGACTCCACGAAGAGAGACTGCATTTTTATGTATTTATTTCATTTTTTATTAGCTTTGAAAAAATCTAAAGTGATTACGATATGAAGGGGTTAATCATCTATATTTTCAGATGCAAAATATGTTATTGTGTTTGTGAGAGAATTTGTTTTTGTTTTTTTTTTCATTTCTCTTATTGATTGTATTCTAAGGATTTCGTTTTTTAGGGGGTTTTTTGTTTTGTTTTTAAATGAAATTGCTTTACTGGTGATGGGTTTCGAGGAGTTCGCGTGAACCGTTCCTTGCCTTCCTTTGGCTGATTTATCGACGAAAAAATTAGGAATGTAAAAATAAGAGAGAGAAGCAGCCACGGAGTTCAGTATTTTAAGGAACTGGTTCTATCTAATTATACATCTATTTAGATAAAGCAATATTTACGGCTTTTTTTTTAGTTAGGTTTGAAACCCGTTAATTTCTTGAAACTTCGAATGGAATGCGGAACGCTGCAAATTAAACTAACATTGGTTCAACAAGTCGGATACATATGAAACACGATTAACCAATGAAAATTAAACACAAAAGTAAAAATACGATGAAGCCATAATAAAAGCGAAACATGTTATATTGGTAAACGTTTCTTATTTCCTATTTATTATTTATCTTATTCTGTCGGATTCCGTTCCATATTTGATATCTCTCTATCTATATTTTATCTATGTATCCTTGTTTATGTGAAATTCCTAATCATGGCTTGTGCCAAAGTTTTCTTTTTGTATTAAATATCTATCCACTCTCTCTCTCTCTCTAGATAGATAGATATGTGTGTGTGTGTGTAATATTCGCGTTTGTGGAGAAAGGCTTCCATTCAGTTGTTTACTATCTTATATGGCTTGATATTGAATATACGCTCCCACTCGTAATGGCAAAATTCTTCAGTTGGTTAACTGCCAACATGACCCGTCCTTATTTAATCAAAGTTGGTATCAACATTATTCAATGTTTCACTGAAGAGTAAACATCCAGCAATGCAAAAATCAGGATAATAATAATAATAATCGCGCATGAAGCCCAAGAAGAAGCGGTTTTCTTTATTTCAAAATGAAATTCCCTAAGCATAATACAGAATATGACCTAATCTGTGCAAGAGAAATGACAGGGGTAATTTTTTTTTTTTTTGCCAATATTTCTAATGAGAATAGTGTGCCTGTCACAAAAATCAGCATTCAAAAGACTGTTTTTTCTCTCCTGTGTTTGAACCTAGCGCTGATAGAAAATTCGCAGCACTCATAACCACGAAGCCAGTTTTCTTTATTATTTCTATTCATCTCATTCCTTACACATTCTTTTATTAATCGCAACCAGAATTAGATTAAATTCAAACATTTCTCATTTCTTCAAAAGTCTTTCGTCCGAGCAGCTATCAATACCAATTTGCCCATATGTCTCTTCGAGGTGGCAAGTTTGAAAAAAATCTCAACTAGACCCACCTCTCTCTCTCTCTCTCTATATATATATATATATATATATATATATATATATGTGTGTGTGTGTATGTGTGCATATTATTATTATCAAGAGGAAAGACCAAAAGATTTTTTATCCTTTTTAGAACGTTCAAAATTTTGGTTAAAAATTTTGTTTTTCTTGCGTTATCAGGAGACCAAAGATTAATTTTAGAAATTTTTAGCGTGTTTTTGCGCTGAAAAAAAAAACACATTGATTTGGAAATTCTTGCAAAAATCAATTAATTGTCGGATTTTAATGAAACTTTAATGGACTTATTCACAAATGAATAAAATTATTTAAGAAAGGTCTATTTTTTCGAAAATCTTTGTAAAAACATTCCTTAAATCTGTCACTCCCACACACTTATTTAATTTTTTTTTAAAATTTCGATAAATTAATTTTTGTACCTTTTGATGTTTACATTAGTTATACACAGAACGTCTTCAAGATTTTAAATCACCAATTTATTTTTATTTTTTATTTTTGTAAAAGAGGGCCCCCAATTTCCGAAAATCGTAAAAAAATGCAATAAAACTAATACATTATTTAATTAGAAAATCTTTTAATTGAATAAGATATATTATGGACACTATTGTCTTAAGAAAAAAATTCCGATGAATAATGAATTTTTACAAGAATTGTTTTCACTTTTTTTTAATTAGAATAATTTATAAAATCTTTTAAATTTATGTATTAATTTGTTCTGGTTAGGTGATATTGTTATTAAGTAACAACTATATTTATTGATCAGAAATTTAAAAGCTTACAACAATTTAGCGACCCCCACTATTTTAAAAATAATTTTGATTTTTTTTTGTGTGTGTGTATAAACGTTCCGAATTTAGTAAATACAGACGTCC